ATGGAGCATTGCCATGAGGCACTGACACTCCCAAGAAGTGGAACTACATGCAGCTGTGGTTACCTCCACCACCCAGGTGCTCTTACTGATTGTGTAGAGTATTGTTTTTCCCTGAAACAGTAGGATGGAAATAGGCTTAAAGTTTTCTTTTGATCTCTACTCTTTTCTGTGGTCTTCTAGTCGTAGTCGTAGCACAACCGAGACAGAAAATGTGCCATTGTCTGGGCAATAATGAAACACTAAACACGTGGAAATCCTATTAGTGTTTCATGGACCGTAGCTGTCATTTCATTTGCTCTGGAATTCCTTCCATATGGCCATGGCAAAGGTTTAAGGTTGAGTTTTCTTGACACTTTGAATGCATTAGCTGTTCCTCAGACAAAAGTCTGTCAAGTATACTGAAGCATCTGAAGGGATGTATTTATTTCTGTAAGTAATATATTAAATAGAATTAGGGTCAGTAAGCTTGGTCTTGAGAGATAAAAACATGACACCAGAATTTCATGGAGTCTTTTTTCCTGGTGAATTTTAGACAAATGTATCTGGTTTTTGTAAATTTACCTTTTTCTGCTTCTGTTTTTTAAATCTCCTTTTCTAAATGACACTGCCCCAAATCTCTTTTTCAACTGTAGTTTTTCAAAAGTATTGCAATTCACTTTTTAATGTATAAGTATGCACAATGTGTTAAGATTAATTTACCATAATAGTAAACTATATAGCCGGCATAATTTCCACGAGTGAATGTGACAGTCATCTGTGCATTTCTTATGTAATAGAAAACCAAGCTGAGATGTTACTACGCTTGTTAGTTTTCATCCCTGCTCATTGTCATGTTTATCATTCTTGTCTGCACTTTTTTGTTAAATTGATTATTGTATGATTTTTTGAAATTAAGTTACTGGAGTTGCATATTTTTGCATCAGATTATCAGGTAAAATATGTCCTTTTGTATCCAATGTACATATGTGACATAGGTAAGAACAGAAGGGGTGCAGTGTCTGTTACCCACAATACATGATAGGCACTCGTGGGCACCATGGGCAGTTTTTGTACATCTTATTAGTTCCTGTTTTCTTCCATTTGTGCTTTCTGTCTTCGAAATTCACAGTGATACAGTACCAATTTTTTGCCCATATACAATCTAGTTTAGTTGCTATGTAGGACTGTCAAGTTTCTGCAACAAGAAGAGAAATGTGTATGTTCTTCTTGAAAGTATCAAAAAAGGACCATTCATTTAGAGGTTTGGTAATGATCAGAAACAGATAAATTCAGGAAAATGGCAAAATAAGGCATAGTTGCTAACAATAAGAAAAGAAAATGGTTTCCAGGTTCTGAATATAATCCATATAATTGGAACAAAGTGAAGAGGGAAAAAAATTATATGTAAATTTGTTTTATACTCAGACCTGAAAGGTTTTACTATTTTATTAACAAAGACCTTAGGAATTATTCTTTTGAAATTTTCATCCCAAATTTGATGGTTATGAATTCCAGTGAGAGAGCTGCAATTCTGCTAGTTTAAGAAATCAGCATTATTCATACTGATACCCAGTTCAGAGATTTTTGCCTTGTACATTGTTAGTGTGTGTTAAAGTCTGTTGGAAGAATGCTTTTAATGGATAATGATCTTCTAGCTGTGTGCAGACATCATTGGTAACTATTGTGGCAGCAACCAAGAACAGTGAGATGTTTCTAGTTTCAGAGTACTCTTGGAGTTTTCTAATTGGTGTCTTAAAACCTGTGGTCCTATGTGTCCTAGTCAGGGTGAACTGCAAATCGTTCAGTGCAGTGTAATTTCTGGTATTTCAGTGACTGTGGGAAAAGTATTTTGCTTGTCTAATTCAGAGATTAATTCTTGCATTTTTCATTTATGTATCAGTCACTTATAAAAAGTCATATATCTTTTCAGAGTTATCTGTTCAAGGAACATGAACATTTTTACTAGAAAAGTAATTTCCTAGCACTGTTGCAATTTTTTCCCCATAGTTCTTCCGTCTTTATTTTGGCACTTTCATCTATGTTCACCAGTTTCCTTATATTGTTTTTCTGCCAGGGCCTGCAGTTGCACAGTTAAATTTGTGCGGATTTGCTTATAGCTATTTTGTATCCATTAAGAGATCCTATCTCTCTCTCAACTTAATGTATTTTTTGTCTTTCACACCAAGGCATGACATTTTATGAAACAGTGGCACAGAAACTAATTTATATGTTTTTAATTTGCTCTTGTGAATTGTTATCTGGTAAAGAGTGAGGAGGCAAACCTGAAATTTATGCAGTCTGAATAAAGGCATGTAATCATACAAGTTTATAAACATAATTGTGCTATTTCTTGCATTTCTCCTTTAAAGTTACTTTGTAATTCAGTTTAATATTTAAATTTAAATTAAGCAAAATCATTTCTGGGTCGTCCACTTATTTATCACAAATTTCTTTATATTTCTGAAGTCTAGGTGCCACAGTGAGTAGATTAGAAACATCATTTGCATTCAAACAGTGATATCCAACTTCAAGCATAGCAGAGTTGTTGTTGGTTTTGTAAATTTTAGCTGTCTTCTAAAGCTGGATCTGAGGCCTCTGGATAGTGACGGGCAAGTTAAAGTGTTTACAGTGGTGCAAGGAGTTGAGGGTGTAAGGGGTGTAGTGTTTGTATTTTGAAATAACATTACTTTGCATGCAAAGCTATACTTCTTTCTTTCACCTTCTGTGAAAGTAACTGTCAAATACATTGTTCAATCATGATGTTAGCAAAAATTATGAAACTGTTATTAAAACAGGAGGAAGAATAAATGTAACATAGTTTTTGATGTTTTGAAACCATTTATGTGGCTCCTTAACCCATGATGAAACACAGGACAAAATAGATACATGCTTTGAAAACAAGGTCCACATAGGGATTTATATTTCATTTCACATAATCCAACTATTCTCCTTTATGAAGAGATGGGTTTTTAGATTTCAGAGGGACAAATATTTCTCAGAAGAGACACTTATGAATAAAACCAAAATAGAACTGCACGTGCCAACCTGCGATTCACAAGAAAGTTATCTGCCAAGGGAGTGGTTATAGCTGAGGCAGAAGCACCTTGGACGTCTCCAAATTGCTTGGCAAATCCTGTAGCCAACAGAAGTGCTAAACTTAAAGTGGTTAGTGGCTCTTAGCTGACTGAGGTGTGAGTGTTATAAGTTCCTCGTAATTCCTGGAGATTTAATATCAAGTAAATACAAAACTGTTGCAACACCTCAGCTAGAGACCCATGATCACCTTTCATTTAACTGCTTTCATATTTTGTTATCCATTCTTTCTAACAAGCTATCCTTAAAACTCCTTTGTTCTTGTGCATTCCAAACCAAATTGTTCCTTGCAGAACTATTTCTTTCACCTAGTGTGTAGAATATGAAATATAAATAATATTGTCCTCTCATTTAATTAGTATGTTAAGACTTAACTAAAGAAAAATGTCTGCATTGATTGTCCTTTACATATGATTCTCTTTACAACTCTGAACCTAAAGTTGTAGAGGTGCCTTGGAGATTTTCATGTGTGGAAGAAAATTGTTTAATAGCTAGTGGCTGTTCTTCCAAAGTAGTCCAAATAGATTGGGGGCGGGGAGCAGGGGTGGGGGAGGGAGGAAATCAATGCATCCATATAAGATCATCTGCTTGTACTGTTAGGACACAGGCATCGTCCTATTCAAAGATGTAATAACATATAGCACAGGTTATTACAGCAACCCAAACGAATTTTGGTAATGTAAATATTGGTGGGAAATTACTGTGGTCCTATCCATACTGCATTCAAGCAAAAATAAAAGCATTTCAGTCTGGATTAAATAAAATGCAATCTGTTTTAAATGTTGTTTGGCTAGCCAGTGAAAACCATAGCATTTTGACCTGTTTGAAAGGCAGGTTCTAGTGTACAACAGAAAGAGTTTATCCAGTATGGTATGCCAGTGTTTGCTCTGATCAGTGCTAGCTGGGCATGTTGTGACAGAAAACGCTTTTTTCTGCATTCAGGCATAAACACTGTTTGCAAATGTATTTCAAAGAACATTTTATTTGGCTAAGTTTTGGGTCTTCATGTGATCATGTGTGCTGGACATTGTTTCTCATTGTCCTGAAAATAATTATTTCCAGCATTTTCTGGGCAAAACAGAAAACAAAGAACTCCTAGATAGAACAGGGACCTTTTCTGTATTACTTCTCTGCTGATTTTGTTTTCGTTTAATAGACCATATTTTCTTGAGTACCTCAAAATATTTCTCGTCACTTGCCCTCAAAACTGACCTGCTGACCTGAGAATCAAGAAAATGTCATGTTAGTGACTACTAATTAGTGGATCCAGAGAGTTGCTTCTCCTGGCCTTTCAACCTTCCAGAGGCAGCAACAAAAGCTGTCACATGTATCATACAAAGAAAACAAGCATTTGCCATGTGTGCGTTTTGTTTTGTTTTTTCATAGAATGTGCATAGCTCAAGTTCAATTGAGAATAGAGATGAATTTTAGGTTAGGAGGAAATTAGCCTAAAATATAGTACTTGCATTTATTTCTCTATTTCCATTCATAACATAATGCGTATATTGTCCAGCTCTTACTGAACATGTGTGAATGTAAGTACGCTGCTTTGTAAGAAGGGGAAAAGAATTAAACTGTATTTCTTTTCTCCCTGTTTGTTTTTTTTCTTCTGTCCCTACCATTCTTTTTTATTTTGATTAGTTCAAAGTATATTGCATCTTTCTGAAAGGAGATACTTAGTTTTTCATGTAAAGCATATAGTCCCTGCTTAAGCTGTTTTTTTGTGTTTGTTGAAAGAACAGGTTAACAGAAGATTCAGCCATATTTACCATTAATCACTGTTGTACTTCTGCAACTCATGAAGCGCATTAGGGTTTTTGGGACTGCTTAGAAGGATGACTGTGGTAAAATGTGCAGTCACACACATTGCCACTGAACTGTTTTGTGCAAGTAACATTACTCTCTTTTCTATTATTTATAATTTTCAGGTCTTTAAAATAGAAGTGCTGGTGAGTGGAAGGAAACATTTTGTGGAGAAGAGGTATAGTGAATTCCATGCACTTCATAAAAAGGTACTGATCTTTTTCTTTATAATATTTTGCTTTATTTTGCCTCAGTGATGTTTTCCTCTCTCTTGTAATTGTTACTATACATGGTTTATCTTAAATGCATCCTGTGATTCATGCCTCTTGAAATTAATTCCTAACTAACTAAATTTCTTCTTTGTTTTGTAGAAGGAAGTAATTATTTCTCACATGTTACTGAGTCTCCTTTTCTATTTGATTGTTGTTTACATGCTGTATGGCTAAAATGCTGTCTGTAGTATGTTTTTGTCTTCTTGTAAAGTCACGAAATAAGTCCCATACCAACCACAAACAGAGTGATTTTTTTCCCAGTTAGGCAAATAATTTGTTAGTTCTATACATTTTATTGCTAATCTGCCATATGTAAAGATGAGGAAACAACTTTTGTACATGAGAAAACCAGATACAAAAATGACTGTGTAAAGCATCTCAATTAATGTAATATAAAATATCTGTTAAGCTTGTCTGCTGAATCATCTTAGTAACATATAGAAGGGAGCTCAGTACTTTCAAGGCTGTTTATCCACTAATACTTCTTTAAATTGCTTTGACCATTATTAAAGTATGAATTTTTCTCTCCAAGCTGAACTGAAAGGCTGCTGTGCAGTTGTGCTGCTGAAAGGCAAGCTTTAGTTTTTTTCTCTACTTTATGAAGCCCAGGTATTGTGAAGGAGAATTCTGGAGGAGGATTGCAGCCCATTACCACAGTGGGACTGTACTGAAGAGCTTCAGTCCCAGGATCTAGGTTAACTAAACGTTTCATGGTTTGTAGGTCTGAGTGGCAGTGGAGTGTGGGCACTCCACAAGTTGATGCTGCTTGCCTTCATTGTCAAAGAGCTTCCCCTGCACACATCAGACACATCAGCATGGGTATTTACAGCTCCTTCAGTGCAACGTCAGAGGAGTTTATTTCCACCAGTATGTTTGCTGATGGTCCTGAATTAGGTCAGGAAAGAAGCATTAACCTGAAGATGATTTTGCCAGGCTTGTAAGGAGTATAGGTTTAAGCAAACTTGTCTGAGCAAAAGGCAACTATTGACCCATCAAAATCTAAAGACCCATTTGCTTTACAGCACCATAATTAAGATGTGCTAGTGCTTCTTGCCTATTTGCTCCTTGCCTCAGTAGTGGTGTCATCTGCCATTTATTAATACTTATTTCCTTGTTTGTTGTTTTACTACAGATATGTCTCAGATATTGTCATCCTTTAATATGTGTTCATATTAAATATGAAACCAAATAAGCAACAGTGTCAGAAACAGTAAAATAACTCACTCAGCCACCACTAGGCCTTGTGATATATGAGTGCTTTGTTTTACAGATGAAAATAATTCTGCAGTTGAAGGTAAAGCAGATGAATAGAGTTTATACATTGAAATAGTCTAGGAAACGTTAAGACAGAAAAATCAAGATTTATATCCTTAAAATGCGCCCCAGCCAAGCAGGCAGTCTCCTAGTGTTAGAACAGTATAGTATTGTATAATGCAATGTGGTACAGAATTAGAATTAGAAATATAATTGAATATTTTCAGTTGGAAAATATGTACAACAATTATATAGTCAAACTGCCTAAGCAATGCAGGGATGACCAGAAATTACAGCTTTATATTAAGGGCATTGTTCAAATGTCCCTGACAGGCTTGGGACATCCACCACCTCTTGAGGAAGCCTGTTTCAGTGTTTGATCACCTTCTTGGTAAAGAAATGTTTCATGATGTTCACTCTGAACCTTGCCTGGCACAGCTATGAGCCATTCCCACATGTCCTCTTACTGGATCCCACGGAGAAATACTCAGTACTTCCCACTCCACTTCTCCTCCTCAGGAAGTAATGACATCACCCCTCATCATACTTTTCTTCAAACTGAGCAAACTCAGTGTCCTCAGCCACTTGGCATCTATCTGCTGAGCACCTACAGGCGGGTCCTTTGCAAGCAGAGGAGAAGAAAAGCCAACACCAAGGCTGGATCTGGAAGAGGGAGAAGAAAGCTTGTGGTTGTGGGCAGAAGCCTTTTCCCAGGCTGCTCACCATTTGGGCACAGATGGTGCCCCTTCACAGGGGCAGGACTCGGTACTTCCTGTTCTTGGACTCCTGCTGTGGCAGGGTATGACTCTGGCATGATGTAGAGAGCAGCACCAAATTGTGATTCCAGGCAAGAGGAGAGATTTGGTACTGCTATAGGAAGGCTGCACCAGGCAGTGCAGGCTGGTGGGAGAGCAGAGCCCAGGGACGTGGAGCAGAAGGTACAGAGAAGAGGAAACAGGCCTGGGGTGATGGGCTTACTCTGGAGACCCCCACCTGGGGTTCCTGTCCCAGGATCAGCTGGGGAATGCTTCCATGTAGAGGAACAATGATACAGTACCTGACACAAGTAGAAAGAACCATCAGGATTAATATTCCATCCTACCTAGCAAAAAACCAAAAAAGAGTGAGGACAGAATCTTTACTGTTAATAACACTGAGACTTTTCCTATAGATTTGTGCATTTATTTTATTTCAAGAGTTGGGACTGAGAGCTTTTGAGGGCTGGCACATTCCACAGCTGATGCCCAGTCCTGCTTTAGCCATGTTCCAAGGCACCTTCCAACATAACTGATGTGGTGCTGGGGTCTTGCTTACTGGAGAGGCCTGCCTTGAGGGTCCCTTTCCCTTCTCTTCAGGAGTTGCTGAGACCCTTCACGGGAGCATTTACTGTGCCTCTGGAAGTGGCAGCCCTGGGCAAAGCCTTCCCTGACTCAACCTGGGGCTCTTCTTGCTCTCTAGAATGGCAATGGGAGCTGAGGGGTGGCTGCCAGGATCCCCACCAGCAGCATTGGAGGAGCCGGCCTTTCTGCTGCTGCATTGCGCAGTGACACATGCACACTGCAGCGTGAATGTCACTGTGCAGTTTTGGAGGGACACCCTCAGCATCCAGCCCAGCAGCTCTGCATTCATCCTGTGTTTGGTTGTGATGGAGTCTTCCACCATGGCTCATCCAACTCTGCTGCCAAATATCTCCATCCCCTGATGGATCCATGGTTGCAGTGTCTGGAGGAGCACAGCATAGTTCTGAAAGCAGTTCAGTGAGCACACAGAGGCTGGATGCCACCCACAGGACACCTGAGCACTCCTTCTTGAAGCCCACCTTTGTGGTGCTCCAGGATGATGGAGGTCCTGAGCAGCTGGATGTCCCAGAGCCACTCCCACCTGGTGGATGACTCATGTCATAGGGGGTATGGTGACATGCTCCAAGCAGTGATCGTCCAGCTGAAATGGTTGCAAGACTGACAGTATCCTCCTCTTGCAGGGGGAGTACTTGGGCTTGTCCTCAGCCCATCGCAGGATGGACAGGTAGCAGAACTGGTGGAGGGTCCACATCACATAACTGGCATACTCCTAGCTGTTCAGAGAGATGGGACAGCAGGTCTAACTCCACTGTAATTTCTGGAGCTGCACAATTACTCCATGTAAAAGTCATGGATGAGTCTGCAGTCTCACTCTTGTCTTCTTGTACACCATTTTCATTGCAATAACTTCTTTTGCAGAGATTATAACACCAGAAAAACCATAAATGATGCCCCCTTTGTCTGCAAAAATAGCAGCAAAATAAACAAATCTGAAAAACAGATATTCTAACCAGGCACTTTGCACCACACTTCAATTTGTTTTGTTTTCTCATTCACTTGCTCTTTATATTACTCTGCAAATGAGTAGAGGCTTTTCCTTATTTGTTCCCTGCACAGATGCAAAACACATAGCATATTTTGGCAACAATATACCTTTTTAATAAGTCTTACTTTTTGAAGTTGTAAAATTTTGGTTCATATTGCTGAACAGCTCATGCTCTGAGCCTTAGTGCTTTCAGTGTTACAGAAATCCTAGAGAAAGTATTTGCATCAGTTTGCTATCAGCATGCCAATATGGTATTTATCTTCCTCTCTTCCCCTTTAATTTAAAATGTTTGCTTCATTCTAAATTCCTGTGAGTACATGGCAATTGGAAAGGTCTCTTTGGATTTGCTGCATATTAAGGTGCCCTTATTGTTGGAGATGTCTGTAGATAGGAGAAACAAAGTTTCTGTAAAGAACATCTATGGTAGAAAATGGACCTAGAGGCTGATGAGGAATTGTGCCTTTTGCTGGGAAACAGCATGCCTCGCTGGCATTGTGGGAAGTAAGGAGAACTGTTGCTTATAGAAGACATTATTAATTCATCAGAATGCCAATCAATGTTTTGATTCATTATATTTTTTAAACAAATCTGGATTTCTGTCTTGGGTTCAATGTTTCATAGATTCCAGTTGTGTAAAAGAGTAAAGCCTCACTTCCTGTGTAATCTGGCTATAGTGGAAAAGGTTTAAAATATTTTCAAGACTTCCATGTTACACCAGGAGTACAATTTATTCTTTTCACAGAAACAACCCACAGATGTTGGCTTCTATGAAATAGTTTGCATAGACTATTATGCTTTGCCCTGATTATGAACAGCAAACCTTGCCTGTCAGGCTATGCACCATTCCCATTACAGTATTATATATCTGAACAAAAGTTTTATTATTCTCATGTGGAAAGTTTTTTTAGCAAGAATTAAATTATTTCTAGGTGTATAACATAGTTTAAAATGCAACCATTTGTTCATATTTATTCCCAAATATCTTTTTATACTTCTTTCCCTATATCTTAACAAATATCGGTAGTTCTTTTTAAATACAATAATGCTAGAAGGTCACAGTGTTAAAACCACTGCAATGAAATTTGCAAAAATCTGAAGTGTAAAACATCTTGTTTTGCAAGTTGTCTGTAATTTTAGAATAACTAGTGTATACTCTACATCATATTGTGTTTTCACAACTGGACAAAAGACTCTTTACTTGATAATGTTCACCATCTTTAAGTCTTTTAGGAAGTAGAGACTGCAGTATGTCAATAGGCGTTAGGTCAGTGTTACAGACAGGAAGGTACTATGGGCAATAATAGTCGTCAGATAAATATGTTTTGTTATGTGTTGGGACAAGTCTGAAGCAATACAGCTAGTGCATATATAGTTTTGCTTAACATTCCTTGACATTGTTATTTATAGCAATATATATGACTGGATTATTGTAAGCATAAGAAAATGGGCTTTTATTATATCTTTTGTATATCTGTATAATGTTGGCTTTATACTTAAAACTGGTATCTATGCCAGCACATTAAATACTTGAGGTTTGGATGTTTTGTATGTAACAGGGCCACAGAGCACCAGGGGATTGTTAATCATCAGCTGAGTTACCAGCCACAGAGTATTTATCTTGTAAGCAGCTAGGTCTTGGTGGATGCTTGTATAGTTTCAGATTTCATCTGGAGCATTCTCCTCATTTGTGGCTCGCTTGCAGGTGCTGTCATAGTTCGCAACAGCAGTGACCGTACTGTCTTCAACATCCCCAATCAATTTAGAGGGAAAAACGGGGGGTGGTATTCTGTTTTTAAGATCAGTTAGTAAATGTAGCTGGGTTCGGAGTTTTATTTTCGAGTTGTTTTTTTTTCACTTCACTTTTAATTGTTATTTAGCACTGTTAAGAAATAAGGAAGTTGCAAAATGTTTCCAGAGCAATTGAGGTTTCCTGGCTGCAGCATCGATACTTGTGATTGCAAAGACATTGATACGTTGCCACTGCTTTTTCCTATAGTGACATCCCAGCAAGCTCAAAGATGAAATGTAAATTCTCAGTCTCCCATGGGTATGCATGTCAAAGTCAATTTTGAGTTTCTTTCCCTGCATTCTTTGCTTCAGATTTACTCCGAGGCAATATCCAACAGAAAGAATGCCACCTTCTATTAAAATGCAATGGAGTCTATTTCAGTTATTACTTTTCCTCTGTAATTTTGAGGAAAACATTAATATTTTTTTATTTTAAAAAATGTGTTGCTCCAGAAAGAGGATTTTTAGTGTTGTCAGGTGCATGTTTTTGTCTATCTATATACAATCATATGTATGCATATATAAATATATATATGTGTGTGTGTGTATATAGATCTATATAGATACACATTAGATATAGATCTATGTAGGTACATGTGTAAGGTTTCCTGTGGGAATCTTTAGAGGAATAGTTATGGAGCTGTCTTTGAAATATAATTAGTGACAATCTTGCTGTTTCTCTGTGTAAGATATTTAACACAGACTGTCAGTCTGTTGGTACACTTTGAGAGCATCAATATTTCACTGTCTTCATTGCCAGCTCTCTAGAGAAATGGTTAGCACTCCTCCCTGTATTTTTCACACCTGTTCATAATTGTCTAAGTCTGGAGTTAAAAGCCATCATCAGGTGTTCACTGCACTTAGCAAGGTAATTTCTGGTTATGTTATGGTAATGTTGTGAGGTATTGTCCCAGGTAGACTAGTAGGAAAATCCAATTTCAAATATTCTCATGTAGTGGTTGCCATTTTATTTTCAGGCTATTAGTCACAAAAAATTATTAGTAGGAATAATTTAGTGTCCAGGGTAACTGGAAGTGAAGATTTTTAACTGGATTCTGTAGGTATGATAGCTGCTATTATTTTAGGGAGATGATTGTAAGTAACTTAATTTCCATGCTATTGTCCTTAATGCATAGGTTTTTATGATTTTTTTTTTCTTGCAGCTCAAGAAGTTCATAAGAACACCAGAGATCCCTTCAAAGCACGTGAGAAACTGGGTCCCCAAGGTCCTGGAGCAGCGACGACAAGGCTTGGAGTTGTACTTGCAGGTGTGTCTTCTTGCAGCCTGCTGAAAGTAAAAAGCAGCATTCTATTTCCACAGCATTAGAAAGTATGAGGTGTGGAGTTTTACTGATAGGCAGTTTTAGAAGTGATCTGTATATTTACCAGCAGCAGTGATTTCTGTTCACATAGCAGAACTACTAACTAGAAATCCAGACTGTTTTGCATTTCTTTTCCTGATTCTTCCAAAGCCTGCTTATTGACTTTGGTGAACCTTCATTTTCTTCTGCCTAAAATGGGGAAAATAATGTTATTCTTTCCAAAGTTGTTCGAACTATACCGATCAAAAGTGTTGCAGAAGCACAATAAGGAGGCTTTATTTAGCTCACCTCTATGTAGACAGACTAGGGAAGCATCAGCTCATCAGATTCATATCACTCTGCTATATATGCCTGTATATGAATTCTTCCTCTAGCTGAAATAGGCACCTGTCATCTCATATTAATCTCAGTTGGTTTGGACATTTGCCTTAAGTCTTAGGTTCTACCTAGATGGGTCATGATTTTGATAAAGACAATAAAAGGAGTCTTCAGGAATGATGCAGTTGTATAGACATCTAAATATATCAGGAATAAATTGCATTCATTTTTAATAAATGGAATTTCTGTTGTCATCATGATTACTTTAAAAAATGTCCTGTGGTGTACGTTCCCAGCTGTTTCTCTGGTGGCAAAGCCAGATGAAGCCGTTCCTCTAAACGTGTTCCCAGTTCATTGCACTTTCAGCTACACTAATGCAAGTGCTGTTTTACTGAAGGGGTTCATAGAAATAATGTGTCAAAACAATTGTTTTGGGAGGAGGGCGAGAGTAACAGCCTTCTATTTTTACTCACTTCGGCCACTTGCAGTGAATTTTTGGTTTTTCTGATTTCCGTACAACTTTCTTTTGGACATAATCACTACCAAGGCACGTGTACCAGTTAGTCTTAAGCAGCTGATTTAGTTAAAAAGGTAGAGAGGTAATCTGGTTATCACTTTTAATTGCTGATAAACTGTAAAAGAACATCTCCCCCTACTGGAAGAGTTAGTAAATTCTTGTTCTTTTGCAGTCTTGCACGTTTAATTAACTCTTCCTCTATTCTATTGCTGTTGGATAACATAGGAACATGCAGTGGGTTAGGTTGGAAAGGACTGCTGGGCATCATCTATTTAAAACATGAAAAGCCTCTTAAGTTATATCCATACTAATGTGCATACTAATTTAAAAAGTTAATACTTTTTTCAAAGTAATTAATTTCTGTTTCCACTAGTAGAAAGCAGAATTAATCATCAGTGAAAATTTAACTTTAAAGATAATTAGATAATTTAAAGATAATTCTTCTAGACAATGAAAATTTCCTAGTAAGGCATTTCAGTTATGAGAGGTTTTTTAATAGTGCCAAGTATTTGCCAAAGCACAGTGTAGAAATATACTACAATTTCAGAATATATGATGGTTTTTTTATTTAACACCATGTATGTAAAATATTGCAAGCATGTTTTCAGGTGGTACTACTGACAGTTTATCTGTGGGAGTTGTTTGGCTACTACTGTGACTAATCAGTGGTGGTGCTTGTATCTAGACATTTGTGCAGCAGATAAACTTTTATGGAGACATTCCAGTCATTAATTGTTTTGTATAAAACCAGCCAGAAGCATATACAAATATTGAGCTATTGCACAGTGAGTTTGTTTTAGCATGCCTTGCAGATGGCCATCGAATACAGAGGATACCTGACAAGGTCTAACCATATTGGGTTCTTAAGATATTTTTAACTAAGTAGTTGTCTGTAATTAAATGCAGATAAAAATATTGACATGAAATGAGGGTAGCAGAATCACTCTTTACTAAATAGTAAAGAAAGCAAGACATTTCCCTGTCTAAGACAGAAAGTGCTGCAGTTGCCAGGACGTTGTTACTTTGTGTGACCTTTTCATGATGAAACCGCCCTTTTAAGTCCTTTCAGCACAGATGTTTCTTGGAGTGGATGGACAGGAGCTCAGAAACAATTCATTATATCTTTCTGAAGAGCAACAAAATTACAAATAAATGAAGTATTATTAAATTGTGGGCTATAAAGAGTATTTATTTATTATTTTTTAATGTATCAGTGGCCACTGGCAGCTAATTATCATAAGACTGCTTATTTTACTTCTGTTTTTGAAAGGTTGGGTCAGGAATTTTCGTGTTATAGTAGACCAGTTTTAATGGAATTTTGAAAGAATGATTTATCTTACACTATTTTTAAGACTTTCATATTTTACAAGTTTGACTGGAATGTGCTACTTCTGTTTTTTATACTGTGAAACAATTGACTGGAGCACTAATATGCTTAGTAATTCAACTGCATGTATAATAATATTTACAGAGTCCTTGTGAGTACTGAGAACAATCAACTGACTGACAAGAGGAAAGGAGGATTATGTTTAATTTATTAATGAGGAAACAGATGCAAAGATAAGAGAATGACAGATTATGGCCCCAAACATTCAAGCAAATGAGTATAAATAAATAAGCTGTTGCTACTCTGCTTGTCATGGTAAATGTCCCTGTGCATAAGCTACAGCACAAAGCGCTTAAGGGTGAGCTGATTTAGTCTTTGCTAAGTAAGAAAATCACAGAATCACAGAATAAACTGAATTGCAAGGGACCCACAAGGATCATCAAGTCCAACTCCTGGCCCTGCACAGCAGAGCCCCAAGAGCTACCCCATGTGCCCAAGAGCACGGTCCAAACACTTCTTGGGCTCTGTCAGGCTAGTGCTGTGACCACTGCCCTGAGGAGCCTGTCAGTGCCCAGCCACCCTCTGGGTGGAGAACTTTTCCTGATATCCAGCCTAGTTGTGTCCTCCCTTGACACAACTTCAGGCCATTCCCTTGGGTCCTGTCACTGTCACCGCAGAGAAAAGATCAGTGCCTTGCTCTCCTCTTCCCCTTCTGAGGATGTTGAAAATGAGTCCTCCCCTTGGTCTATTTTAAATCTCAAAACACCTGTTACTGCCAGTAGAAGAGCACTTAACCAGCTTTTACTACCTTATGGTGGCCATCCACTAGGTAACGTTATAGTTAGTTACTTGTATATCTGAGCTTGTCGCTTGCAGTAGAGCAGAGATGAGAATCCAGGTGGTTTTGATTTTAAATTTGTGAAATAAATCACTGGGTTACACTATTGCTCAAAAAATTCTCTCTTGATAGTAGTTTTAGTCTGCAGTAAGATTTGGACTTTATTTATGGTGAGAAATATTTTCTCTTGATGAGCTTCATGAGGAGCTTTGTGTTGAAGAAAGGTAGAAGATAAGGATTTTAAGCAGCTGGTAGTATAGGGCACCTATAATTTGAGAAGGGCTGCCAAAAGGATTTGCCCTGAGGGCCTGTGACTCCTCATAGTAGTGAATGTAGATAAATGTATTTGCTTTGAAGTACCAGAAGGTGAAGGTAAGTGTGGAAGATGATGAAGCAGGCTGATAACCAGCATTGTAGCTTCTGCTTGGTGTTTGTTTGGTTTGGGTTTTTTTCATCCATTATCCAGTCTTGGACTGACTGTTATCACAAAGCAATACAGAAATATGATTTGATTTGTATCTGTATTTAAATAAGATATGAGTCACTTGAAGACTCCTTCTCCCACAGTTTTTACTGTGTGAGTTCAGTAAGTCATTTTGTAGATGGACCAAGTGAACAGGTAGTTGAGGTCTCATTTTGAACGTTGAGGGGTGACACTGGAGGGACCTTGACACTGGAACAGTTGCAGCTGCTTTGGTTCAGATCAGTATTTGTTCCAAATACATTTGAGATTCTATACTATTGGAGGAGCAGTCTTTACAGAGCTTATTTCCTGTGAATTGGTAATGGGGAAGAATTTGATCTAGCCACCTGCTCATTTGGAGTTAGGTCATATCCTTGTCCCAGTAAGCTGACACTGGATGTTATTGCCATCCAGTCTGTCTGCCCCAGGGACTTGCCCTTTGACAGGTCTGCCTTTTAAAGTTCAATGGAATAGATATTTTCAATCCCCTTGGGCTAAAGAAATCTCATCATTTGCTGATATCATCAGTCCAACAAGATAACAAGCATCGTTAACAGAATTCACTTTGAAGTGGCACCCACACCTCAGCATGAGACTAGCTGCTGCTAGTCTTCACTGAAATAATTTACTTATAGGGAGAGATTTTGAAGGAGGCCCATATTTTTTATTAGTTTCAGGATACTAACTCATTTCATGTGGTCTGGGTGACCTGAAGAAATTCTTCTTGTGACTAGCAAGGCTGTAATATAAAACAGAGAGTTGTAGACCGTCTGAAGTGCTCTGTATCTATGTAGGGTCTCTATGTACATACATCTCTAACCAGAGTTAATATGTAGAGCTAATATTTCTCTCTTGGCTGAGGTCAAGAAAACATACTTGCCTTTTATTTATTCTTGAACTTTCTACAAAGAGAACAGTCCTGATTCCTGGAGATAAGATTGGTTAAAGTGCTCCTTGGCTGTGAGACATGAAGACTTGATGAACCTCAACATTCCAGTAGTTTCAGGAATCCAAATCTTAAAAATGATTTATGGCATTTATGAAACTGGACTAGAGATTTGTTTTCCATTTAAGGAAATAATCTGGAGATCTGAGAAACACTTTTGACCTATATTTCAGTATTCTTCAGAATGCAATTCTCTTTAAAAATATTTTAACTACCAATCCTTCCTGAAAAACATAAGTAAAACCATATCTGTTATGGTTTTTCTCTTAAGAAATTAAAATCCAATTCTATACTCCTTAGCTGTCTTACTTTCCAGCAGGGTGGAGTTAGGAAAACAGTGGATGTAATAATGTAATGAATAATGTGCAGTTGCTTTATGAGTAAGCTCATCAGAAACATAAGGAAGAGAAGCATGCATTATTATATTGCCTTTTTGTGCTCTTTTTGGTGGAACAGTTCAACTGCAACTGCAAAAAATGAGGACGAATTAGCTATTTCTGTAGTTAGTTAGACTGCAGGGGACAAACTGTCAATATA